GAATCAGAAGCCCTTCGTCATGAAGACCGCTTTCCGGGATGAAGAATTGAGCAAGTTTTTGGATACATGTCTCCCGAAACGAAAAGCTGCCAAGTCTTAGTTTAGGGATGCCTTCTCATCATCGAACCTACGAATGTTCGCTTTCATTATTTTCCTCCTAAATGCTCTTCTACTGATTGATATGTTTGCCTTTCTTGCTCTTTTATAACGGTTTTCGCTCTGAATTGTATCCCACAGCCAGGAGATTCCCTTCTGTTATAAATGCTGCTGTACTAATTCCTGATTTTCCTGCATTTTTTTTGCTCTGAGTTATTTTCCACAGCCAGGAGATTCCATTTTGTTATGATTACTGCTCCAAATGGAAATTTGTCAGTTTGGTTGCCGAGCACAGGGGGAAGTCTGAAATTTTCCTATTCTAATCCATATAGGTATAATGCACAAAGACACCGTTATGAAGTTAAACGGCAGGAAAATCAGGAATTAGTGCACCACACCGCTGCTGTTTTTTCTCTTAGATGCTGCCTCCGTATCTCTTCCTGCTCTGTTTTGATGGAATTTACACTCTTCGAATAACTGCTCTCTTCAATTTCTGTTGAATGATAATCAACGCCCGTTCTGATTTGCTTGAATAAACGTTTGTATTGAAGGCAGTTTGCTTTTTATGTGGGCATAATTATTCCTCCCTTGACGCTCCACTGAAGTGCTTTCATGTGTTAAATGCAAAAAATTCAAATTATTGGCGTATAAGACAAAATTTTATAATTTTATTCAGTAAACAAAGAGGAACCTACACGGGGTTACTTTCCGTTGGAATTCACATAATAATAGGCTCTACTACGTCGCCTCGCAGACTATTTTCAGACCTTGGTTCACTTTATTGATGTTTCATCAACGGCGTCGTGTCCGATCAGAATACTGGATGCTTTTGGCTAATTCCGGTGGTCATGCAATGAATCAGTTCATTTAATTGTATTGAGGAAAATATACATGCATACTCCATTACCAATGTACAGTTGAGTGTAGTATCTCGAGGAAGCAGGTAGGTTGCCAGAGTTTAAAGGAGGCTATAGAATATGATGTTTCGGGCGGGGTTTTCAAGGGTGAAATAAAATCCTTCTTGGCTCCAGCTCATTTTCTAACAAGGGTTCTTTTACAGTATTCCAGCGATGATGAAATCGGACCATATGTTAAAATTGCATTCCATGGCTTGCCCACCTTACCGAGAAAGAGACTTTGTGCACTTCCAACACTGTTTTCTGAACGTACAGTTTAAACGGACGGCCTAGGAGATTGGTCGTGGTATCAAATTGAAAAAGTCTCAAAACGCCAGACAACGACCCAATCCCTTTATAGTGCGGAACCCATATAGGATATCCACACGAACTTGCTTATAACTCAAAGGGATCAGATAAAGTTTTTTAAGCGATTTTGAATCTTAATCATTTTATGGCTCTCCTTTTAACTTGTGGCAGTTGTCCCAATGCCCTTCGTCTCTGGCGTCT